TGATCAAATTTAGGTGTTTGTTTGAAACACTATAAACAATAAAGGAGATATAATTGGTGAAAATATTTAAACAAGACAAACAAAATGAAAAAAAAGGGACAGTTTTCACTAATTTCATAATATTTTTTATTAATTTTAAATCTTTAATATTTTATTAATAATTTTATCATTTTTTAAACACTTCTTTTTCTTTAGAAATTCCAATATTAATGGTTGTTAGCATCTTTCAATAATAAAAAAAAGGGGTTAATTATAGTAAATCTCGTTAAACTATGACCCATTTATATTTTATCCTTCTAAAATTTAAAACTCAACAATTAATCAACTCTGATCAAAATATTATCTTGTAATAGTTAAAATATTTTGTTAGAATTTTGTTAGGGATGTACACAAAATCAGATTATGTGTAAAGCACATGACACATTTATTGAATTTTTAAGGCAATAACGTCCTTATGTTGTGATCTCGTTGCATTTTGCCACTAAGATGAAGGAGACAAACTATAAATGAGATATGTAACGCCCCCAAATTATTTATATTAAAAATAATACTCATAACATGATTAACTCAAAATTTTACAATATCACATAATAACATTGACTTAAAAACCCTTTTTCTCATTGAACTATACATCAAAAATACATACTTGCATGTTCATGTCTTTGTTACAACATTAGTACCATAGTTCAAGAAGTTAGAGGATACAATTAAAAATGCCCTACTGGCTTACAAACATCAAAACGAAGCCTTGTTACAACAAAACGAACCTGCGGTCTCAAAACAAATAAGCTAGGAACTTCCATATAATACATCCATGAGCCTTTGTGCTGCAATCTAAACAAAAATCCACCTCTTTCTCATTGGGATGGTTGCACTTCACCGAGTCCTGAAAATGTTAGATAGGAATGAGCTAGATGCCCAGTAGAAATACTTTTAACTAAGTATTTAGTTATTCGAAAAATCCACATGGCATTATCACAAGCCAAAACACATTTTATTACATTCATGTTAAAGGTTTAAAAAAAGATTCTTAGGTATTATTGTGCCACCAAAGCCATATCCAACACCGGCGGGTAAATATGTTGTGAAGCCCCTAAAAGGAGTCCTAATACATATACATATATATTTATATTCAAAGATAAACCCACATATGCTAGCTATTAATATGGCGGGGAATAGACACCCAAAACCATCCATTTTTATTTTATTTTTTTCACTTTTACCAACTACAATATAACAAGACCAGTGGATACCCAAAAACATTTTTTTCACATTTGTCCAGTGATAAGCTCAAGATAGGGCAATTGGGCACCTAGACTTTTCCCCACACGGGTACCAATAACACACAACACTTTCCAAAACCAACTCCCTACCCAGACTCACATGCTATTTACCAACCCTCACACAGCATTTCCAAACTTCCAAAAATTTGTACATTTATGAGATAAAGAGTAAGTTTCATCATTCAAGTAATTAAAGAGAATATGGAGCAACAATCTTCATAATTCAAAAGAAAATCTCAAGAGTTACTAATTTCATAAGTCTCAAATTGATATACCTCTCAAAATCTCATAATTCATTCCTCAATTTAAGGAATTGAAAATCAATTCCATTCAATCACGCCCTTTCTCAATTTCAAAAGTTAGGATTTTCATAAAACTATGGGGCTTTTGCCCCTTCATCATGTTAAATGCTATTTCTCAACTAAAATCTCAATAATCCATAGCCATTAATAGAAATCTTAGGAAAATGTAAAGAAAATTTCATTTTTGAAAACAGAAACCCAATATTGTAAACCCAAACATTTAATTATAGCATCAATGTCATAATAGCACCACACAAAAATCCTCAAAAATAAAGAGATACAAGATTAAAAGTAATCTATCTCAAAGATGAAAGTAGAGAAGCTAGACCAAGAAGATTCCTTCAAAAAATAAAAAAAATCCAATTAGGGGAAAGGCACAATCTTTGCGTAGACTTTGATTTTTATAAGGTGTGGAGGTGTAGATCTTAGTAAAATGAGAGATTTCTAGTGAGAGAGAGTTAGGGTTTTTGAATCTAGAGAGAGAGAGGAGAGAAGGAAGAAAAGAAAAATTGAGAAAATGATCTAAAAAAACAACTTTTAGGTTGTTGATATCGCGTAGACTGCTCAAGCGGTCTTTTCACTGCTTGAGAGGTGAACTTAAACTCTCAGTATTTCAGCCTGCAAAACGAGATTCTGATAACCCCTTTATCTTAGCTCGAGCAATAACTTGACAACTCAAGCGGTCCTTCTTTCCACTTGACCTACAAAACCAACTACTGGGAGTCTTACATCTCTGTTCGACCAATCTTTTAACCGCTCGACCAGTCACTTGGAATGAATTGTCACAAGATCACCAGAGAAGGGTGGGTATTGTAACAAAATAATAGTTTGAGGTGGTTAACTATTGAATTTTGAAGTTTAGGAGAGCAAAGTACAATTGAGTCATAGTTTAAGGGGGTTTACTGTAATTTACCCTAAAAAAATCTCCTACACAGAATAATATGAAATTTGTTGCATTAATGATTGTGATAATGCTACCTCAATGATATATCAAATATGGTAAAACTATTATTATTATTTTGTATTAGGTGTAGTTTGTCAACCTAATTCAATACTTAAAATTGATTATATTAAGTGATAATTAATTAAGCCTATTTAGTAATCACAATTGATATTAAATGTAGGCTAAAAGTTAAAAAAAAATTAAAAAAAATGTAGGCTAAAAGTTAAAAAAAAATTAAATAATATGAAATTTCAATAATTCTGACTAAATTTATAAACCCTAAATATAAGTATCAACATACACTATTATAAATTCACTACTACCGCTGAACCACCACCGCCACTACTACAACTACTACTATCACCACCACCACCATCACTGTCACTGTTGCCACCACCATTAAATTGCCACTACTACTACATTCATCACCATTGTCATTGTTATCATAAATACTTCCATTATTTCACTACCACCACCATGCTACCACTACTACCACTACTACCACCATCTTCATCACGATTGTTATTGTTTCCATAAATACCACCATCATTTTACTAATGCCACCACCACACCATCGCCACCACAGTCACCGCCATACCACCGCCACTACTAGTACTACTACTACCCCACATTCATCACCATTGTCATTGTTGCAATAAGTACCACCATCATTTCATTACCATCACTGCACCATGACCACAGTCACCACTACCATTACTACAATAACCACTACAGCCATTCACCTCCACAATCATTACCACCATTGTTACAACTGCTGCCATCATTCTACCACCACTACTACCCGTTATTTATTTTTATTTTTTTATATTTATTATTATTGTTATTTTTATCTCCACAATATTACATTTCCACTGTCACCAAAATCACTATCCCTTATTCACTATCACTATTGCCATTAGCGTCATAACTAACGTTGCCATTGCCTTCTCCACTACTACCAACTTGCCATCACAATAGAAAAATTGTAAGATATACAATTTGAAAATGAAAATTTTAAGTTTGATTTTGTACATATCAAACAATTTGTTCTAGTTCAATACTTAATTTTTTATCAATCAACTTTTCATCTTAAAAAATTCAATTTTCAATTTTCAATTTTCAATACTTAATTTTTAACTTTCATTCAGTATTCTTTTGATTTATTTTCAATTTAAATAATTAGTTTATTTTCGTTAACTAAAATCGATGAAAGAAATAATATATTAGCCATTAAACTTAATGTAAATGTACAAAAAATATGTAAAATACCATTTTTCATTGAATTTAATTTTAGTTTTAATTAACGGAAATAGGCAAATGCTTTAGATTGAAAAGAAATCAAAAGATTAAAATTTAAATTGATGAAATTAAAAATTAAAAATTTATTTTGTCATAATGCTGAAGACAAAATTTAGGATTTATTTTCGAGAATTGACCAGTAAATCCCGTTTTGTAGACTTGTAATTCATAAGGTCCTAAATATTTTTTTGGTGACTGAATGGTCCCTTAAATTATTTGTTGCCTGTTTTGCCATTGTTAGTACAGTTGGAGGACATGTGGTGTGGTTATGTATGGGGAAGGTGGTGGGGTGTTTGTGTGTCACGTTGTTCGAAAAGCACACTAGTAGCTTTTTAAAGTTTGATTGTTTTTAACACGTGTAGTGTGGGACGTGAATTTTTTAGTAATTGTTTTTTGGCGCGTGATGTGAAGAGACGTAGTAATTCAATCAAATTGGATTCGCCACATTAGAGTGTCACATGGCACGATTAGAAAAAGTACATTAAGGAATTTTTAATTTCTTTTGGAGTGTCACAACATACCAGTCATGTTGTCACATTTGGAAAAGGTATATTAAGGAATTTTTTTTTTTTGAGTACCACATCATACCTACCATGTTATCACATTTAGAAAAAGTACACTAAGGATGAGTAAAAATTTTGGAGTACCACATCATACATGTCACGCTGTCACATTTGGAAAAAGTATACTAAAGAATTTTTAATTTTTTTGAAGTGTCCCTTCGTTAAAGTGTCACATTAATACCTTCCACATTGAAATGTTCTAATTTGTTGTTGCTTACAAATCCTAACCCCTCTCTCGAATTCTCGCAACCCAAAATCATTGGAATCCGATTTACCAAGCGTGGCAAACAACATATCCATCAAAATCTCCAATCAACACCTAATCTAGGGCAATAATGAAAGGGAAAACTTGTCTACCATAATATTCTAAAATTTTAAAATAGGATCAAGTTGTATAGAAGACTTAACACATCGGACTTGCCCATCTAATAGAATAAACGTAGGACTATATAGATTAACATTTTGATAAATAGGATTTTTTGATAATTTTTTCTTTATTTTTTATTATAAAATAAAACGTTTATTTTATTAACATTCCCAAAATGTAAAGCTTGTTGAATAATTATAACTTAGATCAATTGAGGCACATAATTCAACATAGGCCCAAACAGCACATGAGGGGTGGAGAGTTTATGTGGATGGATATATAATACACACATAAAGTTGCAAAAAGTCTGAAGGAACCAAATGAAGAGAAAAATGGGTGAAAGAAAGAAAGGGCAAGAAAATGGCAAGAAAACAAAATTGGAGTGGCCACCCATCAAACCCAAGTTTAATCTCAACATAACTCGCCTCAAAGACACAGATCTCTTTACGGTATTGTTTCTTTTCCTAGATTCTTCCGTTAATTTTCCTTTTTGTGTACGGTGTATTTACTTTGATTATCGTTGTGATTGTTTGTGATAATCTGGTCTACATACATGTGGATCTATATGTCTACTATATTGAATTTGTTTTGTTATGATCGGTCGATTCTTGAATGATTTTCCATCGCTATAAATTCGGCTGTTGCAATGAGATTCACAATTATTATGATTTTCCATTTTTTAAGCCAGGGTTTTCTCTTAGGTGTAAATGAGACTCAGGTAGAGTCCAATGGGTATGCGTTTTGGATGTGTTTTGAGCTTCATTGTATGTATATGTTTTTTTTTGGGTAATAGAAATTAATTTACCTACCAAACAAAATCTAGGTTGTTGATATCGGTTTGCTAATCTAATAAGTCAAGGTCCATTAATTTAACTGTAGTATGGCTCCCAAGCGAACTCAGTGTTGACTCAATTCAATCACAATTTTGATGGAAAATGCTGCAATTACATATAGGCTATGTTTTATTAATACATGAATCATGACTTTAAGCTCAAGTTGGGCTCTAGTTTGATTTTGTGTGCATTTATTTTCTTAATTGAATGCAAGTGAAGCCAAGTTCAAGCTTGTTATTGATCAGTTATGAACTATGAAGCACTGATATTTCAAAATCAGTGTCGTAGCTGTGTCGGACACAAGGATGGCAGGGACAAGTTTAATTTAGGGGATACGGCAGGGACTTGTTGCCCCTCCTCTTTCTTTAGTGCTTTTGATAGGTGTTGGATAGTGAATGTTTATTCTCTTTTTTATTTATTTATTAGATTTAAATGCTTAGTAGATTATCCATAAAAAAGATATAAATGATAAGTATTAATTTAAAAGTGATATATATATTTTTTAAATATCGAATTAGTATTAGTTTTTGTTAATTTTGATTGTTTGTGGATGTAACATTAATTTACATAACAAATAAAAATATATGAATTTTTTTTTTATCGTGTGTCCCCGCCAGTGTTTTTAAAGGCTCAAGGCGCACTAAGGCGCTGAAGGTCACTCGGGGCCTAGGTGCAAGGCGCAAGGCGAGGCGCGGGCTTTATTAAAGTAAGGCGCACGGTCTTCGTAAAATATAGAAAAATTAACATAGACTAATCATTCATAATACTAAGACAATTTTTAAAAAAATAAAAAGTAATCAAGATTCAAGACAAAATATAGAATAATTCTCATAGCCATGAAAGTGCATATTACATAACATTCCAATTTTCAAAGATCAAATAATCCACATTCAATAAAATAAAAATAAAAATATAAACACTAAACATCCAAAACATAAATATCCAACAAATACTAGGATACATCTTAACACTTGAAAACATCAATATCAAAAGAAAGGGTAGGTTAGGTCGGTGTCAGTCAATCATCATCCTCAACATCAATGGCAACATCTTCTTCTCCATCAGTTGATTTATATCCCTCAACATCTTCCTCCTCTGTGTCATCTGAGCCCGCTTCCTCTTCATCTATTAATTGAAGTGGAGTCAATGTTGATGATTTAGATATCCTCGGTTGTGCCTTTGAGCGTGAACTTGTTGCTCTACTTGCATGGCTACTTTCTTCTACTCCAGAAGCTCTAGCAACAGTGGCCCATGTCAAGCCATCATCATCATCAAACACAGGCTCATTATTTTCATCTGATTCTCCATCCATCCTCCCAAGCAACCACTCATTGCTTTCATCAATATTTTGCAAAGATATGGGATCAAGAGTGTTGCGCATGTCATACCTAAATCTCAATGTTCTATTGTATTTGACATACACTAAATCATTGAGACGTTGTTGTTCCAATCTATTTCTTTTCTTGCTATGAAGCTGCAATTATTAAAAAGATATTAAATTCTATATAATTAGAATAAAAAATATTTGAATTGAACAAAAAATTAGTTAGAATGTTAAATACTCACATGTTCGAATACACTCCAATTTCGTTCACAACCCGATGAACTACATGTTAGGCTAAGGACTTTTATGGCAAAAGTTTGTAAGTTTGGAGTATAAGAACCATATGATGCCCACCAATCAGCTGCGATAATCCACTAATTAGAAATAACTGTTACCAAATATTGAGTTTTACTAAAAGTATTACTAAAAATAAACTCTATGAGTCTATGATATATTACGTGGTGCTCTTGTATTTCTTTGCCTAATCGCAACAGACTTGCCAAAAAGATTCTCAACCTTCATATAAATACTCATCTCATTAGTGATCAAATCTTGAACATTAACATCCGGGACCAACCTTTGCATGCATTCATAAAACCCATTCATCACTTCATGATCTTTTTGCACCTCTAAAGCTTTTGGGTAAAAGAATTCTGGATTAAGAAAATGCGCAGTTGCATGTAAAAGCTGATGCAATTGGACATCCCATCTTTTGTTGATGATTTTGAAGATTTCATTATATTTCTCTTCTTTATGATCAAATGAACTTGCAATGCATTCTTTTGCCCTATACATTGCCTTATAAATGTATCCCATGAGAGGTTTCTTCTCGGTATCAACCAATCTAAGCACTTTGACAAGAGGATCCGAGACCTTAAGGACAAACACAACAGTATTCCAAAATGAAGGCATCAACAAAGTTTGTGCCATTCTTTTACCTTGTGGCTTCTTTGCCCATTTGCTTGAGGTCCAGTCTTCGGAGGTGACCATCTTTCTCAAATTATTTTTTTGTTGATGCATTTTAGACAAAGTCAAAAAGGCAGTTGCAAATCTAGTTTTTGCAGGCTTGATCAAATTCTTCAAATTTGTATAGCGCCTCATCATGTTTAGCAACGTAGGCCGATTGTAAATGTAGCCATGTACTGCAATACCCCTTTCAAATGTCTTTTTCAGTCTAGGTATCTTGAAAATGTCTTCTAACATCAAGTTCAAACAATGAGCAGCACATGATGTCCAATACAAGTGTTCATACTTAGCTTCCAAAAACCTCCCTATAATGTAACAATAACGAAGAATTATTATTTTCAAGTTTTTAAATTTTAAATGCAAAACAAACTATGAGTAAACAATTTTGATATAAGGAATGAGGAAATATTCTTACCCGCCAACACATTAGTTGCAGCACTATCAGTGATAACTTGCACCACATTCTCTTTTCCAACTTTCTCCACAAACTTGTCTAACAATTCAAATAGCTTTTGCCCATCCTTTGAACAGCTAGAAGCATCAACCGACTCAACAAACATGGTTCCTCTTGGACAATTAACTAAAAAGTTAATTAATGTCCTTCCTCTTTTATCAGTCCAACCATCAGCCATTATGGAACACCCGTATTTTGCACAATCCTCTTTTTGATTCTTCATTAAATCTTCAGTTTGTTTCACTTCTTTTTTGAGTTGGGTAACCCGCACTTCATGGTAAGTCGGTGGTTTCATACCAGGACCATATTGGCCAATGGCTTCAATCATTGGTCCAAAACTCTCATAATTTACTGCATTAAAAGGGATACCAGCATCATGCATCCACCTTGCAAATCTTTGCATTGCACGAGCTCTCATTTCTTTTTTGTAAGGTTCATTTGCATCAATTTTGGTTTGTTTCCCTTTTGCTTGGTCTCTTCGATTTTTCACCACTGATTTAGGATTGGGTGTGAAGTAAACATTCATAGGCCCTTTTGACTTTGGCATCTTTGATTTGGATTTGGATTTGAATGAACCTTGGCTACTACTTGTCAATTTATGGTGTTGATTGACATTGATCTCAACGACATCATCATCTTTATCTCCATCTTCCATGTCCATGTCATCGAAATCAGGCAACATGTTCATTTCTTCTTTTTGTGTCTTTTTTTTTTTTACATGAACTCTCTAATCTCTTCTCTTACATGAGAAGGACACTTTGGGCAAGCAGTGACATTCCTATAACCTCCCGCGAGGTGTTGTTTCACCCTATAAACACTTCCATTTGATACTTTACCACAAAAATTACACTCGAACTTGTTTAAATTATTCTCCTCTACCAAATGGGCATATTGTCACGCCGGATCTTTTCTATTACTTTCCGATGTCATTTTCTACACAACAAATTTAATAAAGGAAAAATAATTGTATTAAAAGAATAAATGGAAAACAAATTTAATCCCTAACAGATAAAGGAAAAAAGAAGAAGACCAATACCACATTGTATTAATTAATTATTTGTAATTTTTTTTCCTAACAGATAAAGGAAAAAAAATATCAATAGCATATTACAAATAATTAATTATTGTGAATAATTAATTATTTGTAATTTTTTTTCCCTAACAGATAAATTCTTCTCTTACATATTACAAATAATTTTTTTTTCAATAGCATATTACAAGTAAATTTTTTTTTCCCTAATTTTTGTAATTTTTTTTGTAATTGAAAAAAAAAAAGAAAAGAAAAAAGGAAGTCGAAGTGTCCTGAAGAAGAAAAAAAAAATTGAAAAAGGAGAAAAAAAATAATTTTTTCAGAGACTCAACCCAAATAATTGAAAAAAAAAGAAAAAAAAAGAAAGAAGCAAAACAGAGCACTGAAGAAGGAGAGAGGAAGAGTCGAAGGCAACTGAAGAAGTCGAAGCCCCCCCCCCTAAAAAAAAAATGCAGAACTGAAAGTCGAAGACGAAGAAGAAGGAGAAGGGGAGAGAGAGTCGAAGTCGAACAGACCTGCGAAGCCGAAGCCAAAGTCGAAGTCCAGTGTCACAGTCGCAGTCGCAGTCGAAGTCCAGGTCCAACAGCACCAGTCAAAGTCGAAGTCAATTGCGAGGCGAAAAAGGAAGAGACGACTTCGATTAGGGTTCATCTGAGTCGTATTTGACTCATATAGTACATGAGTTGTAATCCTCTGTGATTACGATGAAGTCGAAAGGTTCATCTGAGTCGTTAGATCAGATCTAACTCTTAAACCATCAGTCGTGCCTAGGCGAGAGCCTTGCGCCTCTCTTGCCTGGCTCAAGTCGCCTCGCCTGGGACCTGTACAGGTGCAAAGGGTGCGCCTCGCCTCGACTTGCGCCTAGGCACGCTTTTCACAACACTGGTCCCCGCCATGTTTGTCTCTCAATTTTTTTTGAAATCACCGTATCCCGTGCTTCTTAGGTTATGAAGTATGAGAACTTTGAAAATATTGTTTTATAAGTATTGGACACTTACTCAGTATGGGTACGCGTATCCATATGGATACACATGTACTGCGTAAGTGAAATACTTGGGGTACTGCTTAGGTATGGCCGAGGGCGGAACCAGGAATTAAATTTGAGGGGGTTCAAATTAGGAGAAAGTTTTGTTCACTAACTAACAAAATCCATAATTTTTAGATTTTATAAGTTTTAAAAAAATACATTATGATTATACATTAAGCTTTTTCATGAAAAATAAAAATTATATAACCTTAACAAAATATGAACAAAAGAAGTTTTCTATTATAATAGCAGTAGAACTCGACGCTCTTTTTAAATCTCGAAATTCGTTTTAAGATTGGGTCAAAGCTAAATTTCATTTAATTTTCCTTTCAATATTTAATTTTGCCTAGTTGTGGAGACATGATTTTAATGGGCAAAATCACATAGTTAGTACAACTAAATTTGATTACAATTTCACTTTCCGTACCGCAAAATAATATTATTGTGATAAGTAAAGCATCCCTTCTATCGTCCCTCAATTTTTGAAAGTGGTCATTAGCTATGAAGTACGGGTACAGGTACGAGTATAGGTATTGGTATGATACAGGTACGTCGATGCGGTAAAATTCAAAAAAAGTAGAGTACGGGTACGGTTTGGTACGTTTGTACAAATATATTTATTCTTAATTTGGAATAATGCAAAATTGATTAAATGGTTTAATTTATTAAGATTTAACCTACAATTAACATTTAATGCCAAAAGTAAAGGTATGAACCAAAATTAAATGTCATTATATTAAATAATTTATAAATCATAGCTTAATTTTAAAATCATGCTAAGAATAAAACTAAAAATAAAAAGAAGTTTAGTATAATGAATTTTATCTCTGTAGTAAAAGAAAATATTGTTTCTACTGAGGTACGGTACAACATGAGTATCTGTTAGGTATGTTTGGATACGTCAAAAATTAAGAAGAAAAAAATTTGGATATGTATTTCATGTACACGTATGCAGAAGTACCATACGTTGATAAGTATCCGGTACGGGTGCGGCATATTTGTCGCAGTATAAGTCTTTAGTTGATAGAACAAAATGAATGTTTAAATTATCTTGGATTTTATAACATTTAAAACGGCTGAATGGAAAGTAAAAAACATGTGAAGAAAAAGAGGAGAGAGAATTTGGTTTCCTTTGTGTGGCGTGGCTATGTTGGTCAAACAATAATGTTACGAGGATCACATTATTTTACTATATTTTATATATCATGTGATGTGTCACTATTATCTTGGTAACATATATGAGTGGTAGGTTGGACCCATTAAATCAATGAAATAATAACATATAAGATGATGTACATAAGATGATAAGATAATGTGGTTATCATAACATAATTGGTTAGTAAAATAAGACCCCCCCAAAAAAAAAATGTTGTAGTTTTTACATTTTTAATAAATTAAAAAACTAGGGGGTGCCATTGATGCCTTAATGGCTCCGCCTTGGTCATGGCATGAGTATGTGTCGGGCACTTTTGTGCGTATGTCCGTGCATAAATACTTATTTATTTTTTTAAATATATAGAGGAACTGGAACAATAATTGTTCCTATAGTTAAAATTTTTAAAAACAAAGGGTATTTATATTAGGGTTTTTTTTTCTTTTACCATTTAAAATACTTAAATTCATTTTTGCATTTGATTTTTTAATTGTTATACATCATGTACTACTACAAATTATAAAAATATTTTTTATGGATGTGCGCACCCGATTGTACTCATATCCTACATTTTTTTTAGGTTTTTTCGTGTCGACATACCCTTACCCGTACACGAACTTGTAGCCACACCCGTGCTTCCTAGTTGATTTGCAAGGCTAGCTTGAACTTGCTTCTTTGAGTGCCAAGAGTTGTATGATTGAGTGTGGATGATGAGGATGTTGACTTTTGTTGAGTGGAAGGACTAGAAGAAAGGACAAGAGAAAAAAAAAAAAAAGAAAAAAGAAAAAAAAAAGAAAAAAAGAAAAAAGGAAGCTGCATTATTGAGATTGGGATGGTAATCAAAGTTTTGGAAGGCCTTATTGAGGCTTGTCTCGAAGTGAGTCTCGAAGTGAGGCTAAGGAAAAACGCATTGAGGCTTCAATTTTTAGGTGATACTCCCCAAAAGCTTGAACATCACAATTTGCATGTGTCTTATACACCTTTTGCGCATAAGCATATGAGCATTATGCATATGAAGAGTTTGTCTTGGGTTCTTGTTAAACTTAGTCTATTAGATTGTGTAAACATAAATAATGGAAAACCTCTTTTGTTACAATATTCCCTAGGAAAAATCAAGTAAATGACCAATCAAGAAAAAACATGGAGTCAAGGCTCAAGTGAGAAGCTCAATAACTGATGCTAAGAATATCTATTTCAGTTTCAACAAGGGCATGCTTTCTTTTCTGCTGTGAAATGTTCAATGCTTTGAAAAGAATAGTATTTACACCTTCATATATATTATTTAATAAGTTTGTTACTATTTAAAAATATTTAATTTAATTACTAAATATAAAATTTTAAAATGCTTATGTCTTGACCCTTAACGCTTACGCTTCGCCTCATGAAGGGTAAAGCGCCTCGTGTTTTGCATCCACCTTTAAAAACTTCGATGGTAATACCAACTAGGGACTCGATGATAAAGTTAAGATAGTTCAGTGGTGATAGTAAAAAGTAATTATTGCAGTGGGTTTAGGAGAGATGCTGTTTACGTTAATAGTGTAGCAAGTATGTGAAGAAGTCCAATACTTAATAAGAGAAGACATGTTGCCAATGGTTTTCCTGCACTGCAGGATTAGCGTGGCATATCCAAAAGGTCAGGATGTAACTTTGTTGAGTTATCTGATTTGTTATTCTTTTGTTCTGAATAAAATCAGTGGAACTGAATTACCAATAGTGGATGATAATGGATTAAAATGGTATGATAATGTGTTCAATATCTTTAGTAGCTTGCCAGGAAAAGCAATTGTTGGAAAATTTTTTATCCTACTAACTATTTTGCTTTCAATAATTACTTGTTTATTTATTTTGGAATAATGAGCTAGTAATAATTCTTCATTTGTTCAAGATTTTCAGGTGCGGAATTTATTCACGTCAGTTGAATCAAAGGCATTCATTAAAGCTGCAGAATTGATTGGGTTTGTCCATCAAGGGAGTCTTGGCCCAACAAAAGGCGAAGCTTATAGAGACAATGATCGAATATCTATGAATGATCCTGTGCTTGCAAATACAATATGGGAATCTGGACTCAACAAATTATGTTCTGATTTTAAAATACGAGGCAAAGTTGCGGTTGGGTTGAACCCAAATATCAGAATCTACCGGTTAGTTTGGATCTTTTCATCTTAGTTTGTACTAATTCTTCACATGGATGGAGAGCTTCAAAGCATGAAGCTGTATTTCTATGATTTAGTCATCATTATTTGTGTATGAAAATCTGTTTGGACTTAATCCTCTTAAAGAATCTGTTACAGTAATAGTTCTTTCTTTCATTTGCCTCTTTAATGGAACAGTACAGCAGTCTATTACAAACCTCTAAAATTTAGTTTGATTTCCACGCCACAAGTTTTTTTCTTGTCAGGTATAAGGTTGGTCAGCGTTTTGGACGGCATGTTGATGAAAGTGTTGATCTTGGAGAGGGAAAGCGCACCCATTATACTCTTTTAATATATCTTAGTGGTGGTTTTAAACCCAAACCTAAAAATGATAACAGCGACCCACAGGATTCTTCTGAGCCTCTAATTGGAGGAGAGACTGTCTTCTATGGCCCAAGAAATGGTGTTGTTGCTGAGGTGAATCCGCTTTTTCATGGGTATTTTTTTGTTTCTGTTTTTATTAAGAAGGCATGGGCTTTGATGCAAAATTATTTGGCTTTTAGGTGTCTCCCACTGAAGGGATGGCTCTCCTTCACATTCATGGTGATAAGTGTATGCTGCATGAAGCCCGAAATGTAACAAAGGGTGTTAAGTATGTGTTACGATCAGATGTAGCTTTTGCTTGATCAGTGCAAGGCTTAATCAGATCAGATCCAGCAACCTTGGTAAACTCTTCATTTCAAGTTTATCTCCTGAGATATGTTTTGAGTTTGTAACTTGTGATAGAAAAATAATATATAATGCTTCTGTAACTCAGCTTTGTCTTCCATGATTTGGTGGTCTTTGAAACCCCCTATAACAAATTACTTTACCTCGTAAGTATATGAGAATAAATATTTAAAACATTGCTGCTTGTAATCATGTTTATTAGTATGTACTTTACAAGTCATCAATTGAGTCACCACTTCCTTCTTTTTGTTTTTTGTGTGTGTGTAGAGTAGGAGCATTACTTTCTTCATCCAGCTATTCTATTTTACATAGATAGTATATCATGGAAGCACTACTTTTCCTAGAAGGGGAAGGAGACAAAGGAAGAGAAAAAGAAGAAAAGCTCTCAAATTGGTTTGAGGAAGTGGCCACAGGCATTCTTTGGTTGGAAATAGTTGTAAGATTTTTGGTGTGAAGATAAATGTCATGAAGCAGTACAGCACACGACCTCTCTCTCTCTCTCTCTCAAATGAATTAGTGTATGGGTTTGGGAGGTTGGCAAATTATTGGAGGGGTTTGTAAGGTTGCAATGGTGGTGGGTTTTTACTGGCCATGGTGGTGTTGCTGGATCTACCAGCCACCAAAATTGGTGACTGTGAATTGATTATATGGCAGTGTGGCTGTAGATGTGAAGTGATAGATTGAGAGTGAGATAGACAGTAGAGAGTGTTGTTTCCTTGATGGAAATGGCTTTGTGAGTGGTTTCTGTTGGTAGCACCAATCATGGCCATGGAGGTTTCTTGTGGTTGTAGTGGCAACCATTGGAGTAGCGGTGCTGACGAGTTAGGAGAGGGGAGAAGATAGAGAAAAGGTGTTTTTTAGAGATTGTGTAAATTAATTTAGTTGACTTTTGACCATAATGGTATTTTTAAAAATTTACATAGTGACATAAAATCAATAATCATTACTCTATAAAGGGCTCTGTAGTGGCATGGGGGGATAAGTGTTAACGTGAATACGAAATTGGTGTAATTTACCATATAAATGGCTCAGGATAGGTAGCTTTTGACCTTGAACCTTCTTTAGTGATAGACTATCGGATTTACTAGCTAACCAGTGGATATTATGCCTTAAACTGTTCAGCCGTTTATGTAAGTCAAGACAATAAAATTTACACGAAATATCTTCGAACACAACTTAATTCTTTCGGTTGTACCCGTTTTGGCCTTATACAATATTCTTGGTTTTCGTGAGTGTTTTAGAGAATTCAGTCTTATCAATTCTCATAGAAGTGGCCCCTTCATACTCATATAAATGATTCTTATTTTGAATCTCTTATATACTCGTCTTGAAAGATGCCTCTCTAGATTTTCAAGATATAACTAATCATTAAAAGTATAGCTTACCTTAAGTTTCCTGCATACGATACATGTTGCAGATATCACTCTCATCATAGGAATGGATAGGAGATAGACTCCCTTGGTGATTTCTGGTGAACTTAGATCTTGAGATCTTCAGTCAGTTAAGTTGGGTTGCCATTATGGCAACTCGAAATTAATAAACTTTAATCACATTCATTTTGATAAACTTTCCCTCATTTGCACTCTGGTCAAACTTTTTGTTTAGCGGCCACTATTTTCTGTTTGACCACCTCAATTATATATCATTGAGTAATTGGTGGATCCACTATATTGTCCTCAGACAATACTCACAACTGAGAGTAAATGTCTTACAGTATTAAGTTTTTCAATATGTCATGACTCACTGTTACTATATGTCTATCTCATGTCTAAAATCAATTAATAGACATAGATATGTTCTTTAGGAGTTATAACAAAGTCATTTTTGTTTCTCCTCCAATTTGTCTTAAATAATTGAAATCCTTTGTGGACCCTACTATTGGAACTGTTACATTAAGCACCTCCACACATTTGAGTATTTTCTTTCTTGATGCATAACTTTGTAAAATATCAATACACCTCCACAATTCTGATCTAAATCATAATATGGCATTTCTTACTTATTACTTTTCAAATGCTAGAAGTTAAATAGAAACTCTAAATAATTATGCCTACACAAGTCATAATTAATGTTTTGAGAAATCATATCCTTATAATACTCGTCATGAATCATGATTGAAAAACAAATTTTCTTTCCCCCACATTTGTGGCAATACATAAATAGCACTAACATGAATGCGGACAAGTGTCACTGTCACAATTAATAACTCATTTTTGATAAAAAAAAAATATTTGTGAAAAAAAATTAAATTATTTCTTCAAATCCAAGAGATAAACTCCCACATTAGATCATGGTTCATGGTTTATAATTAAACCAATTCTACTACACAAGATAATTATGACGTGACAATCTATGTCATAAAATTCAAAAATTACTTCCAATTAAATAGAACAATACCATTATTTAAACATCATATTTAAATTACTATAACGGTAATGATTGCTTTGACATTACAAAGATGCTACTATCACATTGAAGTATAACAATTAAGGATCTACCCATCACACCTATTGGGTCTCCTTTGGAGTTTGTGAGAAAAAGATTGAGAAAACATTGAAAACTGGGTTTTCCAACATGCAAACCCACAGACAAACTTTACTTGCATCCACTATGTTCTCTCTCATATAAAAACAATTGAATTCAAATTTTATATAAATCAACAATCAAACCACAAATGTTTAATGTAAATCTAACAGAAGGCAAACAAAACTCCCTAATGAAAAACAAAACAAAATAGTTACAGTTTCAAATGTATTCTATGTTGGAAAATGGTTTTATAAATCTTATTTTTTGCTATTCTTTGAGCATTAATTAAGGTGGGACCCAAGCTTTAATTTTGACGGGTCCAAGTGGGTTCATATTTAATGCATCGTAGTGAATGACATGTATTTGGTTGTTCAAAAGCATTTCTGGATGAATAAAAATTCAATGCATATTTGAGCTTCGTGAAAATGGAAGTGGGTTCCCACACATTTGTGAAATGTGCTTGTCCCACATCGGAAATGCTTGAGGTTTTTTATGAGCATATAAACTCTAATGTGTACACTTGGGTTGGGCCCTAAGGGGGCACCCCAAGTTTTGTAAGGAGGGGAATTATAGACAAAGTGGGTTTCACCCAAATTTACTACATGCATGCATTGCCGCTCGGCTAACCGGACTCAAATGTGGGATGCCCATACTTTTTTTTTTTTTAGAAATTGAATTTTTTTCAAAATTTCTTGCGGGAAAATTTGAATTTCAAATTCATTTTCTTTCCAATTTTGCGTCAAAATTCAAATTTGAATTTTCAAATTAAAATTTTTTAGTCGCCTCCCTTCCAACCAGTTACCTTTTCCAGTAATGCCTTTCAAACCATTCCGAACAGCCATGAAGGCCTATTCGAATAGGCACCTTTGGGGCTATAAATAGCCTCTCCATTCTAGCAATTCATTCATTCAATTAATTTCAATTTTTTCCTTTCCTTTCTCGTTCTTGGTTTTCGCTCTCCATTGATTCCTGCACTTTTCTGCAAATAGTTTTAGGAAGATTCTGTGAGAAAGAAAGAGTTACAACACTGATTTGGTTCGCCAAGCTTGGATTTGTAGTGCTACAAATTCAAGATATAGTCGTTGCATCTTGGGAAGTAAACGCCAGTAAATCTCGAAGTACTAAACCGAGGGCGAAATCTATTTTAAGGAGATTGTGTCCAACACAAACCTCGACTTAAAGTTTTGCAATCTTAAAGCGCTGTAAGCATCAACTTCAAAATTTAATTTCATAATTATTTTCTGAATTATTTACTTTTTGTTTAATTTATTTATACATTAAATTGCACACACATTATACAGAGGACCGTTGAATTGTAACAATATTAAGATAGATTTTTTGTTTTTATTTATGTTTTATACATAAGTAATATTTTGTTTTGGAAAAATTAAATAGTAGCAATATATTGTTTAATTTTTTATTTTTTGATTAAATTGTAGTGATATGCTATTTAATTCTTTCTTTCATAAATAGTAGTAATATATTGTTCATCATTGAGATTTTATTACGGAATTTTATTCTGTTTTGTGTGTACAATTTATTTGTATAAATTTTAATTTGTGATTGTTGCATTTTTATTTCATCAGAAATAATAACAACCGAAAAGGATAGTGTTGAGACTATTCGTACTGCAATTGCAAACCCGGTCACCGCATCCATGATGCCGATATTATCAACGGCAACTCCGTTAGTACCAGTAAATCATGGAGAGAAGCCAGAAAAGTTCAATAGAACTAAGTTCAAAAGGTGGCAATAAAAAAATGATGTTTTACTTAACCACATTGAACTTGGTTCGTTTCACCCGTGAAATTGCTCCAGTACTAAATGAGGCAGAAACTGATCGGTAAGTTGTTGGCGTCGTGAAAGCATGGAAACATAGGGATTTTCTGTGTCAGAACTACATCCTCAATGGATTGCACAATACAATGTACAATGTACAATGTACAATGTGCATAGTGTTAAAAAGACTGCAAAAGAACTATGAGAATCCTTGGAATTAAAGTACAAGACAAAAGATGCCAATACAAAGAAATTTGTCGTTGGTCGGTTTCTTGACTTTAAAATGATGGACTCCAAGACTGTAATAAGTCAAGTTCAAGATCTCCAACTGATCCTACAAGACATTCATGCAGAAGAAATAGTTTTTAGTGAATCCTTCCAAGTTGCAGTGATGATTGAAAAATTACCGCCAATATGGAAAGATTTCAAAAACTACCTAAAGCATAAACGCAAGGAGATAAATTTGGAGGAACTAATTGTGTGGCTCCATATTGAGGAAGACAACCGTGGATCTGAGAAGAAATCTGGTGGTCACATAATATGTAAGCAAAAACTAATGTTATGGAACTAGGACAGTGATCTCTTTCTACCAACAAAAAGAGAAAGCAAGATGGAAAAGGTCCCAAACAAGGCTTCCAAAGCGTGGACAACAAGAAGTTCAAAGATAAGTGCTTTGTGTGTGACAAAGACGAGCATCATGCTAAGGATTGTCATATTCGCAAGGAAAGCTGAAGCTCGGGCAAGAGGCCAACAAAATCACACATGACCGAAGTCGACTACATCCCTAATGAAGTAGGAAACATTAGTCTCTCTGTTGTGGTTTATAAGGCGAACTTAGTGGGCAATACTAAGGATTAGTGGGTGGACATTGAGGCTACTCGTCATATTTGTGCCGACAAGAAACTGTTCACAACCTACAAAGTCATAAAGAATGGAGAACAACTCTTCATGGGAAACTCTTCAACCTCTACAATCGAAGGACAAGGAAAGGTCGTGCTCAAGATGACTTCGGGAAAAGAACACACTCTTAACAATGTATTCCATGTGCTCCAAGAATCTGATTTTTGGGTCATTGCTGATCAAGAATGGGTTTAAATTAGTCCTTGAATCTGACAAAGTCGCACTCACTAAAAGTGGGATATATGTGGGGCGAGGGTATATAAGTGATGGGCTTTTCAAGCTCAATATATTAACTGTTGTACCAAATTTGACTGCTAATAATAAGAACATATCTTTCATTTATATTGTTAAGTCTTTTTATTTATGGCATGGTAGATTAGGACATGTTAATTTTAATTCTTTGCGTAAAGTTGTTTCTTTGGAATGTTTACCTAACTTAGAATTTGATCTTAATCATAAGTGTAAGATTTATGCTGAGGCAAAACTCACTAAGGCATCATTCAATAAAGTAGAAAGAAGTACTGAACCTCTTAGTTTAATTAACACATTTGTGATTTGAAATTTGTTCAAACTAGAGGAGGTAAAAAGCACTATTAGTTTCATTGATGATTGCACTCGATATTGCTATGTTTACTTATTGAGAAGTATATATTAAGCTTTGGAAACTTTTAAGCAATATAAGCTTGAGGTTGAAAATCAGCTTGGCAAGACTATTAAAGTAGTAAAAA